AAAAAGTAGACATTTACAACTGATGTCCCATGTATAAAAAGAAAAATATAAGACTAATTTGGACAACTATATGCCAACCCATTGGGTAACCTAGAAAAAACTGATATACTTCTTAAAATATTCAGCCTACTCATACTCAAAATTTTAAAAAATCTGATCAGGCATTAAAGCAGTAAGAAGAGTGAAACATTAACCTAAAACCTCTCAAAACCTTCTCAAAAAAGAAAAGGCAAGATCAGATAACTTCACTGAAAACTCTACCAAGCATCTAAACAATATTTAATACCCACTTTCTTAAACTCTGAAACAATTGAATGGAGAGAAATCTCCCAAAAAAGAATTATCAGAGAATGATACTACAAGAAAAAAGCATTACAGACCAATATTTCTGATGAGTATTAGTACAAAAAAATTTACCAAAATATAAGAAACTTAATTCAAAACAAATTTAAAGGATAATAGACCATACCCATGTTTGACTTATTCTGGAAAACAGGATGGTCAACATAGAAGAAAAAAGCATTACAGACCAATATTTCTGATGAGTATTAGTAAAAAAAATTACCAAAATTTAAGAAACTTAATTCAAAACAAATTTAAAGGATAATAGACCATACCCATGTTTGACTTATTTCTGGAAAACAGGATGGTCAACATAGGATCAATCTATATATCAAACTAAATGAATGAAGGAAAGAGATTGCATAATTACTTAATTGATGTAAAGCATTTGACAAATTCAACACTCTTGCATGATTAAACAATAGTCAACAAACTAGCAATAGAAGAGATTACCTCAATGTGGACAAAGACCATATATGAAAATCGCAAAGCTAACATCATATTGAGTGATAGAAATAAAAAACTATCTTTCTAAGGTCAGGAACAGATAAAGATCCCCAATGTCAAATTTATTCAGTATAATACTGGGAATTCTTGCTGGAATATTAGGCAGAAGAAAAGAACATTGAAAGGATTAAAAAGGAAGAAGTAAAGTTATTTCTGTAGATTAATAACATATTTAGAAAACTCTAAAGAGAGGATGAAAAAGTCCTGATAGAACTAATAAACCTATTCAGTAAATTTATGGAATAGAACATCAACTTAAATAAAAGAAATCAGTTGCATTTCTATCCACTAACAGTTTTCAATCTAAAAAGGATATTAAGAAAATAATCCCTTACATAGTAGCAGCAAAAAGAATAATATACTTAGGAATATATAAACCCTGGAGATGAAAATCTTGCAAACTAAAAACTCTAAAACACTGTTGAGAAATTAAAGATGACCCAAATAAATGTACATGAATTAGAATAATTAATACTGTTAAATGTTCATACATTATATATTATTATGTAACAAATAATCAAATTTCCTTATCAAAATTTAATGGCCTGTTTTTGGAAAAAATAGAAAAATTTCATAAAGTTCATACAAAACCTCAAACATACTGCACAATCAAAATGTTGAGACAGAAAAAATATAGGCTTTAGATGTTCTGATCCAAGATATATTACAAAGCCACTGTAATTAAAACATTATGATACTGGCACAAAAACAGTCACATACATGATGGAGCAAAATGATAGCCAGTAATTGATCCTCAAAGATGGCCAAATAATTTTAATAAGGTGAGCTACAAGATGGGAAGGATGGTGTCTTCACAAATTATTTATGGAGATTGGATTTCTACTTATAAAAGAATGATGTCGGGCCTTACTTGACACATTCTATAAATTAATTCAATAAGAAGTAACACCTAACATTGAACTTGAAGCTATAATTCCTAGAAGAAAATTAAGGGAAATTTTCATGACATTATATTTGAAAATTATTTACTGAATGTGAATCAAAGTTGTTGGAGACCATGAGGGGTAATGAATATCAGACGTTATGCTCATGTGGCCAGATTACCTGAAACACCAAGTATCCTGACAATGGATGTGTACTGTGAACTGTATTCCCCAGCATTGTTCTAAGAACCATGAACTCCTTGCATGCATGATTGTACCTGCATATAACAGTGTTACTGCTGTTTCTCAGAACACAAAAAGTTGAAATATTTCCAGAAGTTAACAATTAAACTTACATGTGCTTATTAATCACTAGCTATACACAGAATCAATAAATACTGAGGGAGCTGGGCACTCTGGGTCTGAGTCCTTCCTCAGATCTCCAGCTCCCCTTGCTTGCAAATTTCATGCAGACTCTGAGTCTTTTTAATATGCACTCCCTCCTGTTTCTTTAGGTCCATGGCAAAAAGTATAAGCAAGGAAGTAAAAAAACAAATAGAAGAATGCAGAGAATGAAATTGTGTGCATCAAACAAAAAAAAATCAACCTATGCAAGATAAACTATTTTTAAACTGTCCATCTGTAAGTGATTAACATCCAGAATTTATAAGGGAATTCCAGCATATCAACAACAAGAAAAACTGCAAATACCAGAGTGGAAAATGCACAAAGAAATGAATAGGAATTTCTCCAAGGAAAGCACACAAAAAGCAAATGAATATGAAAAGATGCCCAATGTCTCAAGTCATCAGAAAAATTCAAATTAAGACACAGTATTAACTTATGGTGGCACAATCAAAATAAGCAAAATTACAGCACAAGGATTGATGAAGAAATGAATTGGATATGTTCATGTTTTGTAGAAGAAATGGAACAGCCACAACAGGAAGCAGTATGGTCATTCTCAGAAACTTAAAGAATTTTCATATGAGCCAGCAATTTCACTTTTTGGTACAAAAAATACTGAAGGCAGACAGGAGGTGGTATTGCGTTCCTTGTGCTCATTGCAGTTTTACCAACAATAACCAAGGGACGAACAACAACCTAAATATTCATAATGAGGAACGGATAAAGAAAAGTAATTTAATTTTAGCAATGAGTGAAATTCTGTCTAAGATAAGGGTTTCATATTCACAATATATGCACTTAAACATTTCACAGCAAAGAAATAAAAAATGATTAAAGTGGGAAAAATTACTGAATAAACATTTATTTTAATGAACATATAGATGACAAGAATTATATTGAGAAAAATATTTACCATCTAATCACCAGGCAATTCAAATCCAAACACAATGAGAAATCTCTTATCAGATGGTCATCAGCAAAAAGGCAAAAATAACAAATATTGTAAGTCCGTCTGTATGAAGGAGGACTTAACATACAGTTGGTGAGATGTAATCTGTACTGCTATTTAGGAAACAGTAGGAGATTCTCCAAAATCTAAAAAATGAGCTATCAAATGTTGAGCAATTCCGTCACTGGATATATATCAAAAGGAAAAGATATGATGAGTCAGGACTACTGATGTCATTGTAGAGGGCAATGTTCATTGCAGTGTTTTTAATAATAGCAAAGATTCAAAATCAACCTACGTGTCACTGGATGATAAAGTAAAGGTGCACATAAAATGGACTATTATTCACCCATTAAAAGAATGAAATTCTGAAATTTACAGCAATATGGGGGTGAGTATAGAGGATGCTGTTTATTTGAAAGTAAGTCAGTCACAGCAAGACAAATGCCACATGTTTTCACACATATACAAAATCTTAAAAGTTGATCTTGAAGTGTTTACGGGGCTTTGTTATTGGGAAAAGTAATTTAGATAAGAGAATAAGTTAAAATACTTTTTGAAATAGACATTTGTCTTGTACACAAGACAGATTAATTTTGAGGGCATTATGCTTGTGAAATAAGACAATCACAAAAGGCAATAATCCATTTTCCATTTAATAAAGTTGTTTTAACCAAAATAGAATGGTGTTTGTCAGGGGCTGGGGTGGGAGAATAAGATGCTTCTTTAAGGGGTATAGAGTTTTCAATTTTGCAAATGAAAATTTTTAGAGATCTATTGTAAAACAATGAATTTTACAGTTAAAACCATTGCACTGTAACACTTAAATGGAATAATCTTAATGTGTGTTTGTTATAATAAAACATATCCACGTTTGGAATATTTGGCAATCTATTACCGCATGTTTAATTACATATTATCCTGTCACTCAGCAATTACACTTCTAAGGTATTTATTGCTCTGAAATAAAATTATAAGCTGCCAAGAATCCTTACATAAGAACATTGGGATAGTAGTTTTTTATAATATACTACTGGAAGAACGCTGGTGTTTACGGCTAAAAGCATACATAGAATAACTCTAGTACATGATAGAATATTAAAAAGTAATATAATAAATCACTTGAATACATAACTAGGTATTTAAAGGAAATCAGTGTTAGTGAAAGAAGTCAGTCATACAAAATAAAAATATAGGATGATTACACAGCATGAGGTTCAAGACAAGAAAAAACTGTATATCAGATAATGAGAAACTGAATGGTTTTTCTATAAATATTATTGGTTGGGAAGAGTTACTGAGGAAATGTTTTTTAATTATAAGGATGGTAGATTAAGCAAAAATGTTTGCTTTTTAGAACAGATACAATGGTTCATTTGAAATCATTGCATTTCTTTGCAGGTGAACTATTTCTCAGTTACAACTATATTCTTTTTAGCAGTACTATAGGATGTATACTTCATTTCAGAAAAAGAAAAACATGAAACTGAGAGCTTTTTCACATAACTTCTATAAATTAATTAATTTCTGCAAAGAGAAATGTGTCCTATCTTTCTATTCTGCTCAGGACAACTGAAGTGTAAATTCCTGTTTAGCAGAGTACATTGTTTTCAGGCTGGATAAAATATATTCACCAAATATCATGAGTATAATTTAATAGAGATACTTAGTGCAGACACAATGTTTGAAAAAAAGACTATTTCTCCAATTATGGAGGAAATGAATTGTAGTGTGGTCAATACATCCTGAAACAAATGTAACACCTGGTCCCTTTACATAAAGTCAGTACCATTTGACTGAAATGGTACATTCAGAAAAGTATGCTATACAAAAAGATTACCACCTGTTACTTGGCAGAAATGTTTAGAGAGCCACATGATGATGTGAATTTCTATCCATTCTTTGCTTACATGCACAGTCTTCATTCAAAGGGAGTTTCAGGAAAGCAGGTGCTCTTTTCAGAAATGACACTGTTAGTGTCACTTCCTCTCCAGCATTCCGAAGTACCTGAACCTGAAAGTAAAAAAATAAAAATGATGTAATTATCAGGACTTTACAATTTTTAAATAATTACAAAGTCTGGAAATTGTTGATGTTCTTTTCCTCTTCTTTTTTTCCCCTGGTGGTCAGAAACATTTTATGAAACATATAGGAGTAAATTATTTGACATTGTACAAGATCAGAGATCCTGAGCTAGATTCTAAGGGCTCCCACCTGTAATCCTAGCTACCTAGGCAGCTGAGATTCAGAGGATTACCATTTGAGGGCAGCCTGGCCAAAAGCTGTAAGATCTACCTGAAAAAATAAACTAAAGTCGAGGGCTGGAGACGTGGCTTAATTGTGTGGACATCTGCCTGGCAAATACATGGCCCTGAACTCACACTCCAGCACCAAGAAAAAGTGAAGAAGAACGGAGGAAAGAAGAAAGGAAGGAAGAGGAAGGAAGGAAAGGAAGGAAGAGATGGAAGGAAGGAAGGGAAGAAGGAAGGAGGAAGGAAGGAAGGAGGAAGGAAGGAAGGAAGGAAGGAAAGGAAAGGAAGAAAGGAAAGGAAGAAGGGAATGAAGGAAGGAAGGAAAGGAAAGAAGGAGGAAGGAAGGAAGGAAGGAAAGAAGGGAAGGAAGGAAGGAAGGAAGGAAGGAAGAAGAAGAAGGAAGGAAGGAAAGAAGACAGGGAGAGAGGGAGGGAAGGAAGGAAAAGAAATTCACCGATACACATTGTTATTAAAAGTTCTGTAAACTAAGGAGATAACATTCTTAATACTCTTAAAAGTAGCCAAGATATGGTACATGTGTATATTAAAACTCTTTTAACAAATGAAATATATCAAAAAGGGAATATATCTTGACCAAACGTAATGTAATCCCAGGAATACATGGTTGGTATAGCATTAAAAAATGAGTCGAAAATTACCATATTTGCTCAGAATAAGTAATCCAAACCAATTTGCAATGAATACTTTGATAGAAGTAATAATAAAAGGGAACTTCTCCAAATTGGCAATAAGAAGTTCTGCAAAACCTCCAATAAGACTGTGGGTAAGTGGTGACAGATGGAAAGATAAGGTAGGTTTAAGAGATAGACAAATGCCCATGGTCAAATCATTTTTAGTTAAAACTCGTAAAAGAAGAGCTAAGCCAAGACAACACGGCAAGAAAGAAAAAATGATGTCCAAACTCACAAAAGAAAGATGTAGATGATATGGAGATTTATATAGGCAATTCAGTGAAGTACTCCAAAAGGGGACATCTTCTAGAACTAATAAATAATAAGATCATTTTAGGTAAAGGTTTTCAAGTTTGAGGTAAATATACAAGTAAAGCTATATTCTGTGCACTAGCAATCAGAATCTCTAGTTTAAAAACAGCATATTATATAAGCGCAAATTTGCAATATTTCTGTGTTGAGCTGACAAAAGTTATGAAAGCCCATACATGTAAATGTACAAATATTTCTATGAGTAATTTTGTGCATGTGTTAGGGGGATTGAACCAGGAAGGTGGACATGTTAAGCAGATCTCTACCACTTGAGCCATACCCAGCTTTTTTTGCTTCTATTTTTATTTTTTAGATAGGCTCTCATGCGTACCTTTCCTGGACTGGCATCAATAGGATCCTCTGCTTTGCTGCCATTAGCTGGAATTACGGTATGGGTCACCTACCCAGATCTAAGTATGATTTTAAATAATTTAAATAATGTGTCACTCAATATTGATATGATGTTTTTTACATTCAAATTGACTATAGACGAATGCAATCTAATGGAATACAGGACTTTTCTACGATGTGATCATCTATGTTAAAATTTCATCATATGAATTCACAAAAACTAGAATAACAAACCATCATTGAAAATGAGGCCAAAGTGGTTAAATAAACATTGGTTGACTTTGACAGTCATTACAAATATGGAAACATTGTGATATTGCCAGGAGGACAGACCAGAGGAATAAAATGATGTCCAAGAACAGACAAAAACAAAATAAGCAATATTTTTTCTAAAAAGGTGGAAAGTGCGAAGAAAGTATATGTTTTCAACAAATTCTTGTGAATTGATTAGATATTCTTATTTTTAAAAAAAATTGTAAATCCATACCATGTACTCATAATATCTCAAAGTGAACCAGAAACTAATATAAAAACCTAAAAATATGAAACTCCTAGAATAATGTGGAAAAACTTTTGCAACATTGGATAGAAAAGATATCTTAGTTATTACACCAAAACACAATCTATAAGCGAAAAATGTTGGGAGTCAGAAATCACACTTCATTCTGTTCTGTAAGATAGCTTCAAAGCTGAGGTAATCCTAGTGGATCTTTATTTGGTAAATAACATATACCTAGACTATGTAAGAACTCTTAAGAAGCAACATTAACAAATTTCCGGCACAACATGGACAATTAGTTTCACAGGTATGTCCCTATAATGTATACTGAAACAAATAGTGATAAAATACATAAAATGCAGGCAGCATGATTAGCAATTGGGGAAATTGGAAATTCAAACCAAATTGTTCTAGAATGTGTAAATTACAAATACCTAAGATAATTATCATAAGGTTGTGGAGAAGTTCACTCTCGACACTACTAATGGAAAGAAAAATGAAAACTTTGGAAAACACACTTTTGCAGTTTTCTAAGATTGAAATGTTCATCTACCATATGATCCTTAAGTCTTTTTTAGAATTTGCCACATGAATGAAGCTTATGTCCTTACATTACTTTTCCTTTGGTAGTACTGGGGTTTGAATTCAGGACCTTGTACTTTCCAGGCAAGTGCCTTACATTTGAGCCACATCACCTACCATGATACTTTTTCATAACACTTGTGGCAGCTGTATTTGAAATTTTCAAGAACTGGAGCAACTGAAAATTGTATATCCACTCAAACTGAGCAAAAATTGCATATCACTCAAACTGAGGTATATATCTTACATTATATGCTTAGCATATTAGGAATAAGTACCATTGATATATGGTGACATATATTTTTCACTGTTTAGAAATTATTTTCTATTGCATATAACCACCCAAGTAGAGATATAATTGCTATTCAAGAAGCTGTACATATTTAAAGTGCACAATTCAATGCATTTGGTTATATGTGTGTGTTTATGCACACCCTACAAGGTGAAAGAATATGAAATAATTATATTGAGTAAAAGAAACCAAAGTACTACCTGTTACATGATTGTACTTACATAAAATTTTAGAAAATGCAAATAAATGTATTGTGTTTAAATATGAGTTTAGCAGTTGCCCAAGGAATAAGATAAGAAGTTTAGTGAAGGGGGTTTTCCAAGATGGTGGCTAGAGGGAGGAAGCAGAAAGCGTGCCTCCTATAGTGAAATCTTGGAGAGACACTGGAGACACATCTTGCAGGCAAAACCACCAAGAAGATGCAAAACTTTGACCCCTCCACACCTCCAGCCAGTGTAGACATCTCCAATTCACGTTAATGGAAATAAGATAAGAAAGTTTATGAAGGGGGTTTCCAAGATGGTTGGATGGTGGCTAGAGGGAGGAAGCAGAAAGCGTGCCTCCTATAGTGAAATCTTGGAGAGACACTGGAGACACACTTTGCAGGCAAAAGGCCACCAAGAAGTGCAAAAACTTTGACCCCTCCACACCTCCAGCCAGTGCAGAGAATCTCCAATTCACGTTAATGGAGAAACCAAGAGGGCCCTTGGGCCACCAGTCACCCATGCCCAGATGGCTTGGGAAGACACAAACAAGGTGAGCTTAATGGTATGCGGTACTCCCACAGACAAGCTTGGGCAAGATCAGCATAGCCCCCTGGACAGACCAACCTCCATCCGAGGAAAAAAGAGAAACTGAGTAATAAGCAATAAGAACAATAAAGACATGCGGGAAAGTGGGTGGGGCGCACTGAGCACCGAAGATTGGGGGAACGGAATCTTTCCCAGGACTGTAAATAAACAAGCCGGGTGGGCTGGAGAGCTTCCGGTGGGAGCTGGGCGTGCACCCAGCAACCAGGAGTGGGAAAGCTTGTGAGAGTGGCAGAGGGAGGAAAACTCCACAGGAGAGAGGGGAAGACCCACTTCCCACATGAACTGTAAACAAACACTGTGGCTGGCAGGAGCAGCAGCACCACCCAGTAATCAGGAGCGGGAAAGCTAGTAAAAGCAGTGGTGGGAGGAAAACTCCACAAGAGGGGGGAAAGACCCACTTCCCACAGGAACTGTAAACAAACACGCAGCCCTGAGTAAGCAGGTGCAGTGTCACCTCCACAAGCACAGGAGAACTCTGAGTAAACAAAAACTGGGGGGCCAGGTGAGTGCTAAGCTCACCCCTGAGATCTGCATAAATAATGCCTCCAGCAACAGCAGGCTTGACAGCAGTGGGCAGGCGAGCCACAGCCACAGATAGCCATTCACAGACCTGTCTCCAGACTCTTTATTTTTTCTCTCTACCTACGTGTGATGAGAAAACAACCGAACTTCACCTGCATGCTGAAAAACTTACTAAAACTGTATTGCATTTGAACTTGGGACACTTTATGGGTTTTTGTTTTTTTGTTTTTTTTTGTGCAGTTTTGTTCTACTTTATGTGTCCCCTTTGATAAAACAACTACAGAACAACATCTGAGGCACCATTTCCAGGATTGGAGACTGAGACGGACACCAAAATTATTAAGACTGAAACTTCATTGCATTTGAACTTGGAGGTTTTTTTTTTAATTTTTTTATTATCTATTTTTCATTTTGTTTTATTTTATTTTATATATAATTTCTTTCATTTACTTATTTTTATTTTTATCTTATTTTATTTTTTTATTTTTATTTTCAATCCTCTCTCTGTCTCTAATTCTGTTCAGCTTACTGTCGATTAGTACACTACACTCCCTGTTTATACCTTTGAAACTTTCTTGTTTGATTCCTTGTTTTTTTCCTACTTGTATTTGTTTTTCCCTTTTCTTTAACTTCTTGCTTTCCATCTCCTCTCACCCTTCCATTCTAAATTACCATGTTATTATTACAAGCTAGAAAATA